AGAGAGAGAGAGAGAGAGAGAGAGAGAGAGAGAGAGAGAGAGAGAAAGATTAAGATAAATAAATATACAAAAAGAAAAAGAAAATGTAATAACGTCTTTATCCCAGAACCAATCGGTGAGAGATTTTCCGAGTACTCGGAAAGAATTGTACCCCGTGAATGACGCCTAGCATTCTTATCTCGATGACGCGTGACACTCCATTTATCCTATAAATTATCCGGGAGTGAGCGTACTTTCATCACAGTCGTCTATCATACTTCAAAGTAACCACGAATGAAGTAGAGGAAAGGAAACTAAACATCGAAGCCTTACTTTGGCATTTCGAAAGATATTCTATTATAACTGGAAAGACAGTTATATTTCTACAATCTAGTCATTCAAATCAGTATAAGCCCAGATAATAACAAAGGTAAGTTTTTCTTTTTCTTTTTTCCCTTATATATTTGATCGTTTTTGAAATAAATATTAATTAGAATAGGTTTTGTCAATGATCAATTAGAAATATTTATTTATATGTCAATTTGCTTCGAAAATATTCACGTATGATTTTATTCTTATATTTCAAAGTTAAAAAATGAGAAAATTACTTTCCACTGTTCCACAAATTTTGTTCTATTATTATTTTATAATTGTAGGAATAGGAAAAAAAGTAACGTTAATTTTTATTTTTGACAGATGCTGATTGGCGGTGCAGTTAGTTACGTTGCTGGAAAGCAGGCGGTCCGTACGGTTTATTGGCGAACCGCAAACAACGGTCGTCTATTAAAAACTGCCAAAACTTGCATGTTTCAAGGACCACCTAAACCAGCACCATCTTCGACTTCTGCGACAATCCCTGACCGTTCTCGTATGGATCTGATTCCGCGAGTTATTTTCAACTCGCAAAACTAAACTCTAAATCGAACGAGCTATATGCAACTTGTACATAATGTCTTCACACACACATATATATATTTAACTTAATTTAATCCAAACAATATTGTACAATATTTAATGAATTCAATGAAATGATAGCATGACAATCGAATAAATAAATTATTATTATTATTTATTTTATTTAAACATTCGCATATTTGTCTTCATTTACCCACACTACGATATTTGATTAATTTTTTTCTTGAAAATATGAAAAAAATGAAGAAATGTTTTTATAAAAGACTCCGAAGTGTCGACAAAATTAGGCTCTTGAAACTTGCTCTCCTTTCTTTCGTGTCACCGGTGAGACTTTGAGTCGTCATCGACGTCATACGTCATATACACGTCATCCATGCATTAGACTACGTCGTACATGCGTCTTTCATGTGTCTTTCATGCGTCTTTCATGCTTCGTCCATCCATTGTTCATGCATCGTTCATGCGATAATCAACACAGCTTCCATAATAGTACCCTTATACTTAAATACAATTTGTTGTCAACAATCTTCCGATTTCACCTATCTTATCGAAGATTAATTAACAATATGTTTTAATCTATCGATATATTCGTTTCACGTTTATTCTTCTTCAAAACGATTATTATTTTCTTTCTAAAAAGATAATCTACGTCGAATATAAATTTGTTCACATTGGTAAATAATAGAGAAATTAATAAGATTGGATATTTGAAGATTCGAACGTTAATCAATCTCACGAAAGAATATTTAATTATCTATAATAGAACGTATCATTTGAAAATTGGATATTATGTAATGGATTATGGGAAATCCTACTTAAATATAAATTAATCATTAAATAAATATCGATATTAAAATTTCGACTATCAAGTTGATTAGTTTGAACAAAAATAGACATGACATGTATGAGATTTATCGTAACGATTCATTTGAAGATAGATGATCGTGAGGTGTGATCGGTTAATTGTATCAATCGAATCGTTTTATCAACGATGATTAGAAGAAAAAGATTAGACATTAGATAGATGCATCTTTTTAGATTTCATGGGTTTTCCGGGCACGTGCCATTCACGTACAACTTTTCAGTCCTGACGTATCATCGATTCTTCTCTCTGTCTCTCTCTGTCTGTCTGTCTGTCTGTCTCTCTCTCTCTCTTTCTCTCATTTTGCTCGTTTTTAATCGAAGCGAAGGGCTCACGGCTCGATTCCTTCCTTCGTAAATTCGAATTATTCCAGTGAACCTTCAACGAATGTCAGCTGAAAAGGTGGTCCGAAAAAAAGAGAATGAAATTATTGAAAAAAAAAAAATAAAAACCATTTTACGAAATATCAATTATGTAATAAGAATACCCTCATTTTGGGATGCTAATTCTATTTAAAGTAGTTTATCCTTTTTCATTACTAAACAGCGATCTATGCACGACAGATCATCCACGGAAAAGTCTCATTGTTAGTAAGAACAATTGACTCATTTAGGGGTTGTGTCACGTTAAAGATTGTACCTTGATCGTATGTACGTACATGCGTATGAAAACAAATTGATTTTCAAAGTCTACAAATATTATTCATTTTCAAAATAAATAAATTTATTAACACGAGTCTTGCAATAGTAATTTGAATACCATTTATGAATGCTTCATCATGTTTCCTCTTTTTCTTTGAAAAAAAGATAAATAATTCTGATTCATACTATTTGTTGTTCATCGTAGAAATAATAGTAGATAAAATGGTTCGTTGATATTGAAGTTTGATTTTGTTTGTTCTTCCATATTAATTTTTCTTTTTTTTTTTTCATTTTTTTTTTGGAGTATTTACGTTGTAATTGTAACGAATGGAAAAACGAATACGATGATAACAATTATAACATTCCTAATTCAATACGTATGTACTTACGTACTTATGATTATCGACGAAAGCGGATAAAGAAAAATATAAAGTCGAATTATGTCATCAATGAGAAAGGAGGTCAGAGACGTTCACGCGTCCGCGCGTTGCAACTAACAATATGACGTTTTTCCACTTTGCGAGTTTACTTTCCGCGCATGTCACCCCTTATTAAGAGGCTATCGCGAATACAATTTTGACCCCAAATTGATAACAAATCGATTACATTTAAATGTATTCGATGTTTAATAATCAAATCGATTGTATTTGTAGTTACATGTACATACGAGTTTATACGTTAAATGCGCATCATTAGGAGTTTTGTCGCAAAAAACAAAAAAAAAACAACAAAAAAACAAAAAAAAAAACAAAAAGAAAAAAAGAAAAAGAAAACAACAGTAAATACGATCAACGTCAATTATGATATATTATTTCGTCATTGCTCGTCAAAGATCAATTATACGAACGTAACTTTTTCCCAAACTTAAGGTTGAAATTTATGTAATATCAATGATTTTACGTTTTACGGTTATCGTATAATAATTTGTTTGTAAACATAATTTTTATTATCGCGTGTTATCAAAAGCAAGCAACAAATTTTATAATAATTGATGTAAAGAAAATTGTTTGAGATATTAAGTTAATTGGCTAGTATTAAAAACTGAAAGGATTGTTGTTGTTGTTGGTATATACTATGCTTTAGAAATAAGTCGAGACGAAGAGAAAAAAAAAGAAAGAAAGAAAGAAAAAAAAATACGGAAGCTTTTGGCGGGTGAGATTTGGCGGGTGTTAAAAAGGAGTCGGCGCTGGCGCACTAAATGAACTATCGATTTGGCGAATGAAGTAGGTGGCGCACGCTCGGGACATCGATTCGACTGGGTTACCTTCTAAAGGGATTGAGAGAGAGAAAGAGAGAAAGAGAGAGAAAGAGAGACGTGCATGTACGAGGAGAAAGAACCACCCGTCCAGGATTTAACAGAATAAACTTGGAAATAATCGTTCAGACGGTAGACCACCATCATCACCAACAGCAGCAGTAGCAGCAGCAGTAGCAGCAGCAGTAGCAGCAGCAGCAGCAGCAGCAGGAGGATTGTCAATTTTCTTTTTGAAAAATAACGCAAGAGATAGCAAAAGGAAAGAGGAAAAAAAGAGAAACGGGAGAGGGCGAGAGAGAGAGAGAGAGAGAGAGAGAGGGAGAGAGAGAATATCAAGCGGCCGGTGAATTAAAATCATGCAGAAATATGGCCAAGACATGGATTACGACTATGCACAGGAAGGAACAATTGGACAGAATGAACAAAATATGCCAGTGGGTGGGAATATTCCTCGGGTTTTAGAAGCCAGACCCATGGTAGATCCTGAAGCTCAAGGTGAGGTCGATCCTAGTTTATATCCCGAACCCAAGGAAGCCACGCACAAGATTAGGGGTAAGAGCGATTTCTTAGAATTCTTCTTTGGTTCCATCGATCAAGAACTTCTCACGGTCAAGACCTTTTACTTTTTCTTCTATTCGGCCTTCGGTTCTCTATTTCCTCTTATGGGAGTTTATTTCAAGCAAATGGGAATGAATGCTGCTCAGTGTGGTTTACTTATTGGTATCAGACCTCTCATTGAATTTCTCAGTGCTCCATTTTGGGGTTCTTTGGCCGACAGGTAAGTTCTTTTGGATCTTTTATAATATTTTTGTTCTCTCTCTCTCTCTCTCTCTTATCTTTTGTTCGAAAATCTTCAATCGCTATTTTTGTGCTTTTCCATCGATTCCAATCGAATCGAATAGGTGGCAAAAAGGTAAGCTGATTCTGTTAGGTTCACTTTCCTGTTGGATCATCTTTACGTTACCCCTCGGTTTTATTCAACCGCCTGCTACGAGTTGTATGGTCAAAGATAATCATACTAATATTTTGAGACTATCCAATCCGGAAGAAAGGATCGTCAAGAGATCGATTGATTTGGACGATTGTTATAATGCACCATCCGATGACGAATACTTGGAAGTTGCAGCAAACGTCGTTTTCGAAAGATTAAGACGAGACACCGAGAATAACGAGATATACGATCGTACGGAAATTCATTCAGACGACCAAGCTAAATCCGATCCTCCAATCGGGTCATATAACGTTGAACAAAACGAGGTTAAGAAGCTCGACGATAATAATAACAAAGAAACACCTATAGTATATGATCTTGAAACAAACCGAGTTAGAAAACGACGAGATGCTTCTAACGAAGAAAATACTTCATCCGGAGACCTGAGATACGAACAATTGGTATTTGAGGACGAACCTAACGATCCTGATGCTAAAGTTATCGATTTCGAGGAATTGCAACGAAAAAATCGACCAGCCGATGTGCTCGAGTATAAACGTTTTCTCAAAGTACGTCAAATCTTTTCAATCAAATTATTACAAGTTAGTTTTTCGATGAACTTTTAACGATATTTTTCTTACCATTATTTATCATAGAACGAACCTCTCGTAGAAGAAGGTAGAGTACCTAAAAAAGCGTATCAAGGTAGAACTAAGGAAAAAGTTAAACCACCGAGAGAGAAGGTGATGGTTCGTCGTGAGATTCGTCAGGACAAGGAAATAATTCGTGATAATTTAGACAACAGCAAGGTATTTTCCAGTTTAAAGAATCTACGTAAATTATTGTCCACTGGGGAACGTGTATTTGAGGAAAGAGAAAAGGACAAAATCGACGAGATGATTGAGGACACACCTTTAACGAGAAACAAACGAAATGTACGAACTTCGGCTGGACAAAGTCCTTTGGCAGTTACATACGCTGCTAATTATAACGAGAAAGAAAACAAGGGTTGGGTCAAGCCACTTTTCAGTTCCATCGTATACAGATTACCGGTACCAAATAAAATTTTGACAAAAAATTAACCACCATTTTCTATCGAACGATCAATAATTATTCATGTCCATTTTTGTTTTTAGGATATACACAAAACGTTCTTCCTCTTACTATTGTTAGTCATAGTAGGCGAATTTTTCTCAGCTCCTGCTATAACACTAGCTGATTCTGCTGTTATCACCCTACTCGGTGAAGATGCCGACAGGTAAAAACACATTTACGATTGATCTAATAAAAAACATGAAGAAATATTGTTATTGTTTTATTTCTCAATTTTTCATACAGATACGGACATCAACGTATGTTCGGAAGTTTGGGATGGGGATTGGCCATGTTCTTTGTTGGTATCGCTTTAGATCACAGTACAGCTTTTCCGGATCATCCTTGCAATCCGGACGCTAGAGAAAAAAATTATACGATTTGTTTTGCTATATTTTGCGTTCTTATGGGGGCTGCGCTTATTACGGCATTGCAGATTAATTTCAAGTACGACGTTGTTGCTTCTGAACCGGTAAGTGTTGAACAAATAACACGACGATATAGAAATTGACGAAGAACAAAAGAATTTAAAGGATTTTCTTTTAATAGGAAGTGGCAAAAGTACCGGCTGAACTAACGAGGGAAGAACAACTTCAGAGTCAATTGTCGCAACAATTAAATCTGCCTGGTTTGCAGGATTCCTCGGCTGCTATTAATCCAAAACCATTACCACCGGAAGGCAAAGTTAGTATAACTTTATATTATTGATTTATTGTTAAATTTAGATCTAATTTGATTAGTAAACGAATCAAACAAACAAATTTATCGTTTTTTTTTTTTATGTCTTTTTCTCAGACGAAAATGTTTGCTCAAACGATGCGAGAAATTCCAGAATGGGTGACAGTTTTGAAACAATTTAAAGATCTCAAATGTAGTTCTTTCCTATTCGTCGCTTGGTGGATGGGTTTTGGTATCGGACTCATCTTTACTTTTCTATTCTGGCATCTTCAAGATTATGGTGGTTCACCTACGCTTTTTGGTGTTGCATCGGTGATAAATCACATTTCCGAAATCTTTGCTTATTTCTTCAGTTTCAAATTGATTCGACAAATTGGCCACGTTAAGGTACACACATGTACATGAAATAACAACGATTTAAATCATTAGTTTAGTATATTACAATATATTATATTAACAAAATCATACTTTCTCAGGTGTTGTGTCTTGGTTTAGCTGGAAACGTTATACGTTTCTTATATATATCCTGGCTGATTAATCCTTGGTGGGTTCTACCTTTCGAATTTATTCAAGGAATTACTCATGCCGCGGTTTGGGCAGCCTGTTGCAGTTACATAGCCCATAACACACCGCAACATTTGCGTTCGAGTGCTCAAGGTGTACTTCAAGGGTTACATCATGGTCTTGGAAGAGGATGCGGTGCAGTGATTGGTGGCATGTTTGTCACTGCTTATGGTAGGAATCCCAACAAAGCTATGTGATTAATTATTTTATGAAATATACAAAAAATCATTGGTTATAATTTATATTATTCAGGTACCACTACAACCTTCCGAATTTACGGCCTCACCTGCCTTGTCGTTTTAGCGGCCTTCGTTTTCATCAACTTTTACAGAAAAGATACCGGCTTCGTTTCCGATTTACCCCAAACCGAGGATCCTCATCAAGTAGCAGAAGTGACGCATTTAGCACCTCACGGAGTACCGAGCAACGCCATTCCAAGAGCACTCAGTTCAACTCGTCTTCATGAACTTGCTAATCAAGATTCCGGATATGGTGCGACCTATCAAACTACTGGTGGTAACTTGGACGTGCCTGGAGCTAACGGAGGTAAAAATGTTTCTTTAATTGAACTGTTCATTTTGAAAATAGCCGATTTGCGTCGGATTAAATTTAAAAGTATAGATAACAGATGACATATATAGTAGAATAATATGTGTTGGATTTTTAAAGGTGTCAAATTTAGATAAATTTAGATAATCCAATTAGCATAATTTTTTTTTGATAACTATGATTGGATTTAAAAATAAACTTTTTCATCATTTCATTAAATAACAAAGTTTTCGTGTTACATCTTAATGATTTGAAATATATTAATGACAAGTATCTTCGGAATGAAAAGATCATATAAAAATGTAATTATTAAGGTTGTTACCTCGATGCTTTTTTTTTATAAAAAGGACACTTTACGACACTTTCAAAATAAACGGCTCAATTATTAATCCTAACCACGTAGAGAATATCTAACCAATTTGTTCGGCCAATAGGTGCGGTCAACCCAACGAATCCATTTCTGAATGGCGGTGGGGGCGGTGGCGGTGGCGGCGGTGGATATAATTACGGTATGACCGGCAAAGGAGAGGACGAGTATATCCGTAGGAGCTTCAAGGTTTAGTAAAATCATACCAATTAAAAAAAAAAAAAGAAAGAAAAAAACCAATAAAATTGAAATTAAAAAAAGCAAAAAAGCTAATAAGATTTTCTTTGACAACGCTCGAATAAGGATATATAAAAAAAACGAGCGACTTCTACATAAGGTTATACTCTCTGAACACTATCAAATTTAATTAACAATCTCTTATCTTTAAGTTGATATTTCACGATGTGTTCGTCGTGTTTAGGTGAATAAAACAATTACTAACGATTAATTTATTATTATTTTAGGCTTATAATGAGGTGATCGGTAAAGAGTTCGACTTGATAAAACCACCTCCAATAGAGACCCACCTGCACGCCCAACAACCATGCACCAATCCGTTTTATCAGCAATATTACGACTGGTAACGAGACAGATGTAATCGATCCTTGAACAACACAAGTTTCATTGGTATCACAACCAGTTGGATTAATCAAACAAGGTCTCGTGCATATTTTACATACAAGAACCGATTAGCGTTCTCGTTGCTGACCGTGTGAACACTTGTTTAATATCGAAGAAGAACTGCTTCTATGTATGTATATCGCAAAAAGAACCTAAGAGTTTCTTCTCCGAGAGACCAAAAAGAACAAAAAAGGAAAAAAAAAGAAAAAATAAGAAAAAAAACAATGAAAAAGATTTCACAAAAAAATATAAAAAAAAAGTGGAGTGCGTCCGAGGGATTTGCGCATTTGAAAAAAAAAAAAACCAAACAAATAAAATACGACGAATATTAATTGATGTGTCGGTGATAGGTTGAGAATTTAAAAAAAAAAAAAAAAAAAAGAAACCTGATTTCACACGCTCCTTTCTTTTTCTTACCCGAACAAGTCTGAATTTTAAAAATGCATCGTCGTGCGCCATTTTCACGCTTATAATATATAAAACACACTTTAACGTGAGATCATTTTTACGAGAATCGTATTACTTTCATGATTAATTAATATTTCAAACGATATACAAGCTCTTAAAACGTCCATGTTCGTTCAACGAATAACGTAAATGAATATAATACAAATTTAGGAAAAAAGCAACGACTTTTTTATTTTCCAGTTATTAGAAAAGAATTAGAAAGGAACGTCTCGGAGGGTACTGAAAAGAAGATGCTATATTATTCCTTGTAAATATTCTTCTCTTAAATGCCGAGCTATATTTCACTCTCTCTTTCTCTCTCTCTCTCTCTCTCTCTCTCTCTTTATCTATCATTTGAAAGTCCTATTATGTTCCTATTGCCAAATGCTATTCATTGATTTTGTTTAAAAAGATAAATTCGTAAAAAAAACTAATCCTAAATACATTCTATCGAGTAGTTCCTGTGGTATGATATCATTATTATACATAATACCAATATATTACGTCGTTATACGTGTATAACACTGTTGAAATAAAAGAAAAAGAATAATAAACAAAATAAAAAAGAATAAAAAAGAAAAATAAGAGATCGCAATTAAAAAAAAAAAAAAGAAAGAAACCTTCTTCGAGGCACATGAAAAAAAAGAAAATAAAAGAAAAAGGGGAGAAAGAAATTAAAAAAAAAAAGGAGAAGAAGAAGCTAGAATTAACGTTGTACCTATTCGACTCGTCGAAATTAACCCTAAAATTTAAAATAGCAGTATACATGTAGATATATATATACAAGTTATATATATATATATATAAAACACACACATACATGGGTATATAAAGTATGGAAGGAGAAAGAAAAAAAAAACCGAGAGCATTTTGCAATGTTTTTTAAAGAACGAACGCATTACGACGACGATCGAGATGATATTATCGATATCTCGAATGAGATCAATCAAATATTTATCACATTACGGATGAAAGACGAGAAAATTTTAGCGCATTTTCTATGCGTCCATAACTATTAGATTTCATAAACGATTTTTAACTAATTATTGATCATTTCGTATTTTTTTTTTTTTTTATATTTTAATCTTATTTAACTTTGATTAATTTTTTCAAAATACATTAGCAATATGAAATGTCTAATCTGTAAAGTTTAAAAAAGGAAGAATTGATATAGAGTTTCGATGAATGAAAACTAATTCCAATCATCTTTCGATATAAAAGCTATTTTTGTAGTAAATAATGAAACCGATGGCTTCTAACTAAAAAAAAAAAAAAATGTCTCGACACGTATTGCGTCCATTCTTTATAATTTAATTGTTCTTCCTTGATGGAAAGTACCAACGAGTTCACACAATGGTCATTGCCTTATCGATGTAACTTTTTATTGGAAAGGTTTTTCTTTTTCTTTCTTTATTCCCCATTAATTCAATATACTCGTTGAGATTAAATTTGACGTTTAGAAATGACGTGTTTAAGTATTATATGCGTTTTTAAAAAAAATTATTGAGATGGTATTAGAATTGTTTCACAAATAAGTGTTGTTTTTATTGAAAAAATATATATATCTAAATTTTTGGTTTTGTTTAAGGGGGTATTCTAGTCTAGAGGCATGAATTTTAAGTACTTTTCAAGTGTAATAACAAAAAGACGAATAATATTTTTACTATCTATAATGTTACAAGATATTCAATAATATTTCGAGAATACATGGAAAAAAAATAGTGAAAAAACTCAGAATTAAAAAAGATATAGACTGATGAAGTGGGGGATCCCAAAAAAACGGCGCGCGACAAATGTCAAGATTGCAGCTCTCCTGGTAATCCGAAATAAAAAATTAAAACGGATTATTAATTTAGAATAATGCTGCTATCGTTCGAACTAAAAGAATTGAAAAAAGTTTTTTTTTTTTGGCTAAATTACAGCTGTTTGAAAAAAAAAGATACATTATTTTTACTACAATTTTTACTTTTCCGAATTTTTTAAAAATAATAAAATTGAAAATTTTGTAAGATTTTAATTTGCACGATAGAGTAATGCATAGAGAAGATTCTCACCAAATTTTAAGCAAATCGGTTTAGTAGAACTTGAGATATCTTGACATTTGTGAAAAAAAAAAAAAAAACAGTTTCGAGAAAAACGCGTTCAAAGTTTCGTGTAATAAGGGTAGGATATAGGATGCTGCGTCACTAAAACAGCTATATCTCCGAAAATAAATTAAATTTTGAAAAATCCCCTTGAGGACATATTTTTAAAAGGTTAAGCTTGAGAAGTATGCAAAAAAAGAATCGATTTTTTCCATTTTCTAGACCAGAATATCCTCAATAGGATTTATATTAAATTGAAATGAATAATCGAGTTTTATTAAATATTATCAAGTTAATGTTATTTTTATTGTAATAAACTCGTTGCTCTTGTATTTATAGCACTTATATTTATTAATCAATCTAATATTATGAATTTTACGTTTTAATCTTAACGAGATACGTAAAAAATATGTGTTTGAAAGTTTATAGTTATCTTCTTTATTATTTTTTTTTTGCGTGCGAATATCTCATGTAAGTATATATTACATCTGCTACGATCATAAATCATGTCTGTATAGCGACTGATTGCATTAACACGTGGCCAAATTTATCTTACCTATTATATGTTATCTCTCTCTCTCTCTCTTAATGTACTCAAGATGCGTAGATCGATGATATCAGGTTTTTTTTCTTTCTTTTTTTTTTATAGCTACGATTATTTATAAATAATGAAAAAAGTTAAAGATAATCTTTATTTAGGAAAAAACAAAAACGATATATTATTTTTTATTTATGTGTTAAATATATTGAATATATATTTATTAGGTTAAATTATTATAGATTAAAAAACAATTTTGATTTTACATTATGTACATATGGCAATTCTTCAATTCGAATTATTCTTTAATATTTGCAAATTAATTCAATTCATAAAAATAACTGATGTCAATTGTTTTTTTTGTAAATAAATTAAAAAATGTCAGATGATTGTTCAGATGACATCGAATAGTACGATTAAAAGTTTATTACTTTATGATAATAATCATATCTAATGAATATGTTTATCTAAAACACGTGTGTTGTCTTTTTTCTTTCTTTTTTTATTTTAGAATAATTAATACGATCGATCGAATTCATTTGAAATGTTTTATTGTTTCATTAGTTTTTTTTATCCTCGTTATGGAATACAATTATTATTATTATTATTATTAAATAATGATACACACACACACACACACGTCTCATTTAAATAAACTTTTCATGGAATTGATTTGCAATCATATAAAATAATGCGTTAAATCGGCAATGTTAAGCGTATTATGTGCACATCACGACCATTGAACGATATCATAATGATCTTGTATGCTCGAACAGCTTGTAGATATTGTATCGTAATTTTTACGTAAAAATTAGCGATTGTTTAAAAAAAAAAACCTTTCTCGTTCTACGATATACTTTCGGTTAAGATTATTCTAGATAAAAAAATAAAAAAAAAAGATCATCGTTGTCCTTCGACTTTGATCATCATTAGATCCTTTTCGACGAAACGAATTCTATCATATTTCATAGAGTCATATCATAAATATATATATATATATATATTATAGATAGATAGTAATTAATAATCGTATTGCAAGAATTTGATTTGATTTGACGATATGTAATTTAAACCTTATATATTTTTCTTACCAATGGATGATGACTATAATCATTCGTTCAAATTTCTCATTGATTTAAACTTTAAATAATAATCGAATAATTACATAATTAAATGATTAAATGAAAACGATGATTTTTTTCAGTGTCGCATAATTTTAATTCGTAACGTTGTTGTAATATTTCAAATGTTAATTATTTTATAATTTATTTTTATATGAGAACGTAACTGGGGCGCCCTTACATTTTCATTTAATCAATATGAGACAAATAAATTGCGTATGAACATTCTAAAATGAACGAAAAACAAGAAAAAAAAATGCTAAAACGAAAATATGTCATCGTATCATATAAACAACGTAAACAAATTTCAATATCAAAAGCTTCTCGATCATGTACTTGATTATTATCTTTGTTGTTTATGCAATCATTCATTTTTTGATCGAATAATATTCGCTTAAAAAAAAAAAAGAAGAAAATAGCAAAACTTCTCCTAAACGAAATAATATTTTTAATGATGACGTAAATAATTTGGTCATTTTAACTCGGTGGGGAATGGTGTGTTCGAAAATAAACAAAAATATTGTCTTTCGAAAGTTTACTCAAATGTCTATCACAATTCGTTATTTTTCTTCTCTATTAAATTCGTTTTTTTTTTCTTTTTTTAAATGAATTAATAATATACAAACAGAGAGTGAAACAAAAAAAATACGGCAAGTTGATTTTAACGATCTCTGATCTCTGATCTTGAAGCTTACGATTTATCATCGAAGATGGTCTTTGAGATTTTAAAGGTAGGTTTATATTTTATATAGCGCTAAAATGCAATAGAAGAAAAAGAACACTTTTAAAAGCAAAAAATGTGTGCGCAAAAATTTCAAGCTTTTTGATTTAATGAAAAAAAAAAGAAAAACACAAATTTCCATTCGCTAAAAAAAATGCTGTTGTTTTCGTTGACTTCGATGGACGAATATATATATATATAATTATTTATTATATAATATATAATTAAAATAATATATATTTATTATATTTTATTATATTATAATTATATATTATATTTATATTATTTATTTATATATTATAATATTAAAATAATATTACAATAATATTATAATATATGTTATTTATCGATTATTTTAAATTATAAGTCTTTAATTAACCCGCTGTTATGCGTACCGTTCACCTTTGCTGTTTTTTTGTAATATGGAAATTCAAAGGACGCGGCAAAAAGAAAAAAAAATATATATATTTACATGTATATTGAATAATTAGGAAAAAAAAAGAAATACATATCATGTATACTTTAAGCTGCAATATGTATATGTATAATAATATCGCGCTGGAATTCGATCGTAATTCGTACCTGATGATTCACAATTTACAATTGAATGCAATTTATTTCATTTCTTTATTCATATTATATTATTCTTTTCGTTAATACTTGAAATCTGACCTCGGCGGCAATGAATTAGAATATATATTAATTATAATAATATACATTCATATATTCGATGAGAAATCAAGTACGAAATACTACGACGACTGTACGATATGTTAATTGTCATAGATCGTTATTGGAAAATGATTAAATGCCCATGTACACGCGATGGATAATGTAATACATATAAAGTTTGAAGAAGAAAAAAAAAGAAGGAAAATGCAATTCTTACGTTTGAATTTTTATCTTAGAATGTTTTTTATTTTTATTTATTGTTTCGAATCGTTGGATTTAAATGAAATCTTACAAAAATTGTTTGTCATTTTTTTTAAAGATAAAAAAATAATAATATCTTTTTTTTTTAGGGGCAATGGGAGTTGGGTAAGAACTTCCAACTTAAGTAACAAAATTGTTCTTCTCGCAATTTCGCAACGGATTTGTTTTTATTTAACCCTTTGACTGCGGCACGCTCTCGACGAATCCATTAATATGAACGGCGCGGCGCGATTTTCACATGTCACAGTCGCTGCGACTGTTTTTCGCAAATAAAATAAAAATATCAATTTTAATATTTATTTTTATCCGAATAGATAAATTCAAAAACTAATCACAAAATGAAATAAAGAAATACTTACATATGCAGCAAAGGAACAAGTTCACAGGAATCAAAGCAAGAAGCAATTATACGAGACCGTATGTAAAAGAGCAATCAAATATGAAATCAATTGATTAAACGATATTGAAATAATTGTCAATTATGTTACATATCACAATAAATTCCATGTTAAATTAATCGGTAAAACAACAATAAAGGTGTTATAGTAAAAAAATACAGAGGGCGTATATATAAGCCTTTAGCAGTCAAAGAGTTAAAAAACTTGAATTCTCATTCTCATTACCTATTTTTTCGTGTCATTTTTTGTTGTTAATGTAACGAAGAAAATTATTATAAACAACAAAAAAACGCACACAAAAAGATACATTGTATGATTAGTTGAGCGTGTAAAAAACTAGCGGCTACAATTTCTCGTTTAAATTTACTATAACGCACAAAAGCAAATGTTATCTTTCGTTATCTTCAAGCTAAACTATTACAAATATTAAGATCGTAGAGAAGAAGTTCATGATTTAAAGATTATTTTTGTCTTTTATGTTTTCTTCTTTCAAAATAATTGCTTTTTTTTTTTTAATAACATTATCTTTTTTTGTAGAACGCATAAATAATGACACTTTTTTTCTTTTTGAAATAGAAAGTAAAGTGAAATAAAAAAGAAAAGAAAAAAAACAGAGAAGTCGGTCGCTCTCTTTCTCTCTGCCTTATTTTTTTTTTGCTCTTTTTTTTTTTATTTCTTTAATTTCCATCTTTTATAATCGCTGTTGATAAATAAAGGTATTTTTTTTTTTTAATTATTATTTGTAATTTCAACTAGATCGATTTTCTTACTTATTCGAAGAAATTACATCTAGAGGCACTAGTCAAGCTTATAATCTAGCCGACTACAAGAAAGTTTTTCCTGTTTGACACTCGATGTTATTTCGATAACTCGAAAACGAGCTCGAGATAATATATATATACGTATGTCTATATGTACATACCAAGCGAATGAATATCTCGATTACTTTTGATAATAAATAACAATTTTTGAAGGGGACCATTTGTTTACTATCTTTTTATTCAAAGATATTTCTTATAGTAAGAATCAAAAAATTCATTGATTCAAATTTTCTAATAAAAAATTATAACAAATGGTATTTACAATATTCGTATATCTTAATAATAATATCAATTGGTATTTAAACGTGTACTGCAATTTTAATAGACTTTTAATTCATAAAAAAAAAAAAAAACAAAGAAAACAACCATTATAATAATAAAATTATGTATGCTATGCATACAAACATTATTATTAATAATACTGTCCGAAGAAAATTTAAGGACACGTTTTTTTTTTCTTTTTACATTATTCCATCTCTTTATCAACGAGATATTTTGTAAAATTGAAAAATACAGACTAGTATGTGAAGATATTTCTGTTTACAATTATTACGATAAACGTTTTCAATTTATCTTTTTTTAATAGTTAAAAAAAATAAAAAAAAAATAAAAAAAGAAAAAGAATCTGGAGTTCCATTTAAAAATAAACAATATGACCTTTGGGTAAAAAGTTCGTCATTTTTACTAATATATTTTAACAACAGCCTTTTCAAATGAAATGTATTTTTTTACTTCAGAAATGCGTTATTTTTATTGTTAAAAGCAACCGAGATAATTATAAATCTAAATTAAGACGATTCGCTCAAGATATACATATATAAATATATATAAATGTATATAAATATATACATACGTATATCGTTTTTGCTTGTAAATAGATAACGTCGTCATATGACAGGAGAAAAACTGCAAATCGAAGTATTCTTAATATGATTATTTTTCTTTGTTAATTAGACTGAAACTACTGAGTTAATAATTATTAACTAAATTCTCACTCTGGAAATTTATACTGATCATTTGTTGATCACTAATCGTATAAGTAGTATATATTATCTTTTTTTTTTTCCTAAAAATGTATTATATTATATTTATAAAGTACATACGTATAAGTATATACTACATGTCGCGTGTATGCTTTTTTCCTTTTACGTTTTTTTCCTTACGTATGCATGTATATATGTGCATAAATGCATAGATACACACAAACACACATACATGCATACGTACATACATTCATACATACATACATATATATGTATAATATGTTATAGACTTGCTGCTGTCGTCCCTGTTACTACTTGCATAAGAAGTATAATGATGAAAGAGAGAAGAAGAATGGATGCATGTATATACGCCCTTGAGCTCTTTCGTCCTACGAATGATGACTTGTCGTTGGGTTGTTCTTGTCGTTTTTTTAACATCGTAGCCTCCTTTTATTTCTGTATTTCTTTTTTTCTTTTCTTTTTAAACTAAGCCAGAGGGCTATAGAACCAACAAATGATGAGTCTTCTCGACTACTACAGAAGAAGCTGCATTAACTGACAATAATAATAATAATAATAATAATAATAATAATAATAATAATAATAATAATAATAATAATAATAATAATAATAATAATATGAGAAAGAAGAAAACTAAAAGCTTCCACATTTCTTAACTCTTTCATCGTGCATTTTAATTCTCTATAATAACATTTCTTTTCTTTCTTGGTTTTTTTTTTTTTTTTTTTTTCATTATCTAATAATATGAAAATCGACTTAAATAACAGTAGTCAAAAATAAATTGTAAATATAACTATATGACAACGTTAATTTATATTTGTTAAACAATGATTGTAGTAGTATTGTATATCGATTTAAAATGATGATTTCTTTTGTAAAAGTAAATACAAAATAATAGGTATAATTGGCGAGCATAATTGTTAACCCTGTAGAAGGTTAATATGTAAAATAATAAGCACGGACCGTTGGTCACATACGTTTGTGTTGCACGCATTCTACATAAAAACAAAACGATTGATTTTCTATTCAATATAGATATAAAATATTAATATAAAGAGAAGAAAACCAGCAAACAAAAATAACATTAATCTTAATATTTTTGGAATTCCTTTGTAATATTAGTTTTGATTTAAATGTCGTTTCGTTCTAAATATAAAAAAAAATAATTTGTATAATACTGCAATGCAATATTAAATACAGAAGAAATAAAAATATAAATTTCTTCTGGTTAACATTCTAGCTATAATAAATTCATTATTTTTTCTGCATGTAAAATGCATGCTTTTTAATGAAATTAAAAAGAAAGAATAATATTTAACATGATTCTACTATTATTCATTACTTTATTATTTTGCTGTGATAAATTATTACTGATAAAAAATACTTTATATTACTATATGAAAATCAAATATATATATATATATATATAAATAAAAAAAATACATAGATCAATATTTTAGTTAAATATTATTGATTGCAGAAAAAATAACCTCATTTAATACTTCACATATATACATAGTAAGATCTACGTTCGTTGGCTACGTTAATAGCTACATTTCATTCCAATACTCCCCACCCCCTTCTCTTACACTTTTTATTCTTTCTTTCTTCCGTCATATTTATCAATAAATTAAATGCGAATCGATAAAAATAAGAATAAAAAATATGGGAAAAATATTATGCAAAAAAGGAATATTTTACGAGTGCATCATAAAATTGGATTTCGGGATGAACAAGAAGAGGTGGTGAAATTGAAGAAAAGAAAAGAAAAACTAAAAGATTAATTTCTACTTGTGATAATTCGAGTAGGGATCGAAAAGAAGCGAAAATCGAAAGAAGCAACAAGATGGAGGGTGGCGGAGTAAAGTTCTCTGACGCAAAACTAGATCGACTTCGGGCAGTGTGTCACTACGGCAGAATTGCATTATAATTGTTTTAATACTGGCACAGTGAGGCAACGATCTTAGGACTTTCTAAATAATCATATCCGTTCTATAATATACTTATTAATACACTTATAACTTATTTTTCTACTAATACTTTACTTTTTAATTAGCATTGCTCTCCACGTATTTTTCTCACATTTTCATTTTCTCTTTGGCAAACGCAAAACATTCACGCAAACATCATTTAATCAATTTTTTCAAACGCGCACGAGGTTACATACATAATCATCACACGCATCATTTTATTTTCGCATACGTATTTGCTATCAAAATTAATAGTAACGACATCGAACTGTTCAAGGACGCTCTTTTCTTCTTGTCTCATCGAAGGATTTGCGAAGACGATAAACGACAAATTCAAGAAAAGAAAAAAAAGATATACGACGTATTTTCTTTATCACAAAGTTTTTTTTCTTCATCTCTCGCTTTAAAAAAGAAAGATTCTTCGATCATTCTTTTCAACTTGTATTTATTTATCGTTTATCTATCTTCACGATGAAATGTGAACGATTAGACGTCTTGAAAAAATCCTTCGTTAAAATCTGGATCTGGTCACAGCCTTTCACAGGGATGCAATATACGGCAGCTTTTAAAACTATGCCGCTGTGATAAGTATTGAAACCTTACAAGGACAACAAAAATAACAATACCGTAATTACGCGGCTAGATATCTCTCGCTATACGGTATTGGACAATGATAATGTCTTTTTTTTCGCGAGAGACTCGAAGTAAAACTATCGCGAAGTTTGAATACTAGTTCTAACGATTGCTTGGATTTTTTTAAAAGATGTAAAGGGGAAAAAGAGGGACGAGGTGCTCGTTTTGCCAGTGGTGTAATAGCCTGTTACGAATATTCTAAACGTTTCTATTTTATATAGTTTTCTTTTTTTTTGTTTTTTTTTTGTTTTAAATCAAAAATCATTACACGTTAAACGAACAAGTAGAAGAACTAGTTAATAAAAGCGATGATATTGCTAAGAGTCTTTTGAAAAATTGCTCAATTATCATCCAGGAGAGCATGGACTAGAATTTCAAATATAAGAAATTAGAGAAAAGAAAAAAAAAGAGAACCCTTTCGAAATGTTCTCTTTTTTCCTCTTTGTCTACTACAAGTATATACATAGAATGCATATGAATGCAGATATAACGTGGCTTCTTGGAACACGTGATCCTAGTATCATATATAGTCGGCAAAAAAGATTCGTAAAATTAGCATTTGCGATATCACGTATATTACTCGTGCTATTGAAATTTCAAATTACACCTTCGTGGTTTATGTTAAAACGAATTATTAACGTTACCTTGATAACCTTTTTCTTTTCTTTTTTTTTTCTTTTAAGAGATATTAAAAAATAAAAAATAAAATATTCAAGGTGAAAAGTTTTATCGATCGAAAGCTTACCAACCACGAAGCATAGAGGTACACCTCGATAAAAATGGATAGATAATGTAGAAAATGTTGGGAATTAACAAGGGATGGAAAGAGAAGGGAGGAGGTAAAGGGTCTTCCGTCAAATTTCTCTTTCATCTAAGAAAACTTAAGTTAGCTATAAGAGAACAATGACAAATTTTAACAATAGGACCTCGAAGAATAATGGATATGTGCTGACTCGTTTCATCGTGAAATATCCACAAATTTCTTTCTTACGACACTCCGTAATAACGTAAAATCAAAAGCCTTTTAAAATACTTTTTTTGCATCCTTTTCGTCGATTAACTCTATTAACGTTTTACGAAACAAAACATTTCGTCCTTATCTATCTACCAGTCTATAGAAACTGTCAAAAATTGACGTGTGACTAGCATTAAAGACCAAAAAATTCGAAGAGTACCGAGATTTGACTATGCTGTTTTTGATCTCAATCGAAAACAATCGATTTTTATTGTACAATTTTTAAACGTGAACACGTTCATTACTACTCGTTGGATCGTGCAATAACAAAGTCAAAATATTATCTTGCTTTCAACATCCTACGATTTATGCTTTACTGATGCCAAATTCTGCCATAGCATGACACGCCGAACGAGTGATCTATTTTACACTAGGAACTACATACTCCGCTAATTGAGAATTTACCCTATTCCTTAGATTTGCATTGATACACCGATTTAGTCAGATATCCACCTCAAACATATCTTGTTCAAGTGGTTTTTTAACCCAACTGCCAAGTTGAGCGCGTACAAACGCGTCCTTCAATTGACGTTTTGCAAGCTGTTATAACAAAAAACAGAATAAAATATCTATTTTTTCTACTCTCTCTGAATGTGTATACATATATACGTATATATACACGATATACATGTATAAATATTTATGGATATATATCACGTGATAATTTGCTATTATATAATGGATATTATATATTCATAACTTACAGAATAATTTTGAACTGACGATTTCGCTTCAAGATAATGACGACATTGATTTTGATCGGCATCATCAATTGTTTCCAATTTACCTAATAGACTGAAGAACTTCCTGAAGAGGCCCTGCTTTGAAATTCTAGAAGGTTTACCTAATTCGTCTTTTCCTGTAGTACAGTTAATTACTTCTGCTTCGCTTTGACCTACATAAATTATTAAAAAGAAATATACCTTTTAGAGAATTGGAAAAAGATTTCTTAAGGCTGACTAAGCATACGTACCGATAGTCCAATTAACGCTGTAATTCGGTGCCTTGCCTGGTTGCCTTACTTCGGACGAAGTTATTAAACTCATCAATGGTTTGTTGAGCCTGTAAGGTGGTGGTAGACCTTGAATAGTATTTTCAATACGGCCGCAAACAGCTCGATACATGTGACTAGGGTTCAACAGACTGCCGAGAACGATGCTGTGGAAGTAAATTGGCTCGATGAAGTGGCTTAGAAGTGCACCTTGCACACCAAGTACGTTCCATCGAGCTATTTTGTCTGAACACGACATCGTCAGCAGTCTTTGTCCCTGCGAATTGAAATAAATAAATAAATAATAGGTCAAATTACGAAGGAATCTAATTAAATTATTGATACGTTATTTTTACTTTAAATCGTAGTAAGTTATATTTACCATAAGCACACCATCCCATGTCTGAATTCCTTCGCTACTCTTTACAGGTATAGTACCTTCTCCCGATTCTATCTTAGTTCTTAATTGACCTCTGGCTCTTCTGTTAGGATGTTTGTCCACGGATTCGTTTTCTTCGTGAGGAGAAAATATTCTAGCATCTCCGCAAGGAGCTGTATTTATGTACAAATGAAACTGAATTCCCTGTTTCAACCTAAATCCCTTTTTTATGCGTTCCAAGACAGACTCAGCGGATCGGTTTTCAGTATGCAACTCCAACTGTTTGTACAAATATTCGCAGAGACAACGTCGAGCTACCACTTCTGCATGGCAATCATTTAAAGCCCTACCGCTTACACTTAAATGATCCCCGGATACACATTTTGTACCTTAAATGAATAAGAATGATGAAGATATTATTACGTTCAAGAGAGATTTAACATAAATCTACGCTTTACCAGTAGTGACGCATATTAATTCAGCATCCGATCCGTTTGTTTGCACTATGCCAGCTAATACTTTGCGTCGAGCATGTTGTGGCTTACTTTGTATAAGTTCAGTGAATTTTTGATTTACCATTTTTCCTATTTTATCTGCCAAGATTTGTGGCAAAGTCATTTGTTCTTGCCAGTGGCCAGAATTTGAAAAGTTAGGTAATACACGAACGGGGAGCTGAATGCAAAAAGAAGAACTGTGGACATTCCTTAATTTTGCCAAGGCTGCTTTACTAGCTGCAGCTTTGGCCAGCTTTTTACTCGGGCCAGTGCCTTCAAAAGTTTCTCCATCTATTGTTACAGATATTGTAAATTTTGCATAACTTTCTCCATTGTCCGATATACATTTGTATACAACTCCAGGATATAGCTCATTGATGAGTGCAACGGGACCTTTGTCTAAAAATTTGTTCGTATTTTTTGGTTCTTGAGTCAATGTCTTGAACGCATTTACAAGATGATTATCCCTCTCTGTGACATCGCTGGTAAAATCTGGTTCTAGGGGAACAACAGGCTGGCACGTATTAATAGCTTGGTGTACTTCTGGTGTATTACGGAACTGTACTATATTTCTTAAAGCAAGTTCAGCGGCAGCATGTTTAGCCATTTTTTTGGTACGTCCTTTGCCCTCATAAGTTTGTCCATCTATCTGTACTGCGATGGTAAATATAGGAGCATGAGTAGGTCCAGTTTGACCAACCACCTTGTATACCGCACCGGTTTTCAATTCGTTTAAAGCGCATACCGCATTCTTTGGTTGTGGATTTTTGTGACGCTTCTTTGGTATAGGTACACCTGATGAAAGAATGAAAGAGAAACTAATTCGTTCAAAGATATTGTATAATACCATATGAAAACATATAAGATAAGAATTTATCAAAGTAAAATACAAAAGGAGAAGGACTCGTACTCTAAGGTATTAAGCACAGGAACAATCTGTAACTGACCTTCCAGATCAGACTCAGCGGGTCTCTTCAATCTAGGCCTGGTAAGGTTCTGCTGGTCCATCTGCGAAGAATATAATGAGAGAAAAATATGTGTTGAGAGTTAAAGAAAAAAAAAATGTATTCTCTAAAAATAACTCTAATTGGCTGAAACTTACCCCAGTAGAGTGTTCCCCCTGCAACCCCTCCACGGATGCAGCGGCATTAGCGGCAACCATCGAGGTGGTGCTAGCTGCGTAGGATCGCATCATATGAGAAAAGACGGACAGAAATATCGTAGACTGATACGTAGACGAGGAACTTTATTCTGTGTGTCCTTACTCGTCTGGCACGTATCGTGATTGTCATTTGGCAGCATCAATCCGTTCGACATCCCTCTCTCAATGAGTGTGTGTGTGTGTGTATGTTGCTCGTTTAAATGAAACTTTTTTGAAATTAACCAATGCACGCAGGACGCAACCCGACAAACACCGCACCGACGTCACATTGATTTTAATTATTCTCGTGCATCCAAGCTTCACAGCGCCACCAACGACCTTATCCCTTCTCTCTCTCTCTCTCTCATACACACAGCAGCAGACACCATACCACGCGCATACGCGCACGCAAGCATGCACCCCGCACACACAACACACACACCTCCTACTTGTTCCTACTTGTTCCTCCTTATCCCTATCTCGTTTAACGACATTTAGCAATGAACTAACTACCTAACCTCAATGATCGAATCGCGAATCGTGACAATAGAATAACAGTGAGGAATTAGCGAGACTATTGGTGGTTGTTCGTCAAATATAATCAATGAATATTATTCACGAGGTACTCGACGAACGAGGAGATACTCTTGATACGAACGATCGAATCGTTTCGCGTGTCCCGCGGTCGCGCAAATCGCTCTTACTTGCGCGCACTCTTTCTCCTCCCTGCCATTTGTTCTTTCAGTGCGCAGGCGCGTTACTCGTATAGCGCAATGCGCATCCCGCACAAGGGAATCCGAGTCGAGTCGATTTGAACACCAGCCTCCCCTTTCGTCAACCCCTTCGCCAGCTCCTTCGTTAACTTACCTCCATCCACCCCCTTCGACATTGCACTAGACCGCCACCTTCCTAGTCACGACCCCTTATCTAAGATTCTACGTCTACGTAATCCTCCTTTCTTCCTGCTTACCTATTTACCGACCTACCTAAAGTTCTATCATCTATTTTTTATGTAGATTTGACAACCTGCATGTATACAAGTTTTTATTCAAATCTTCATGAAGAGTTGTCTTCTTCATAGCACAGTTGTCTAATGTTCATGGTTTTCTACTTATCAAAACTAATTTCGAAATCTTTCTGATGTTGTAAGATGAAAATTGCTTTCGTATCGTAGATTACAGTTGGAAAATGTTGGAAAATGTAAATTGATATTGTAGTATCGACTGCGTGAATAATAAAGTAAACAACGCGTGACCTATCGACTCCCCACCATACGCCTTTCTAATCTCCTTTCTTATAGTCTAATAGCCCGTGATGGTCTAAGATCCGGCTGCAAGATTAGTGCACTCATCGAGTTTTTGCTAAAAACCTAATTTTTATGTATATTTATGATAAGTAGAATCTACCAGGTTGCCTATCAAAATGTGGCCGCTAGTATTTTTAATTAAATTATTGTTAATTAATTTTTCGGAAAACTATTCATTCACTTGTTCTTTAAATAAAACATCATACACTTCACGGAAATATATGTAAAGACTTTGAAAAATCACGGTTGCCGTTTCGCACTTGGCCGCATATCTTCGCAGCCAGGTGTAAACAGGTATGATTTTGATATATGTATACGTTCATAACGTACATTTATTATTTATAAATCAAATGAAAGCTAATTTTTTTCTGTTTACTATGATATACGGTTGCCTAATTAAATCTGGCCGCAAATAAGAGTTGCCGGCTGTTAAAAATGGTAAATATTAAAGGTAGAGTATATCATCACAAAAAAAGAGAGTTATCGAGCAACATCACTTGTCAGACGAGGATAGCGATTGCCAACCGCACGACACTTTAAACCCACTGCGCATGCGTCGATTGCTAATGTTCTCAACCACCGGTGCAAACAGTAACTCCAAMWSA